GAGGGATTTTGCAGGAAACCTACATTATAAAGCGCTGTTCCCTGCTGAGCGGGTGCTATAGTGAACGAGGGAGGAAAAAATGAGACATTTTCAGTGTTGTGAATGACATGTGATACAAACTGAGGATGGAATGACTCAGGGCAGAATTCTGCCTTCATTTCATACGCTTCATGCATCTGAGCCAGAACTATAGCGTATCTGTATAGCCTTACTTGTAATATAGCAAGAGTGACACGTGTGGCTGGATATAATTTGTGACAAAAGTGTGAAATGAACAGTTTTGAAATCTTATTTGAAGTTAATCATGATTATCACCTTTTTGTTGTTTCTCAAAGATACCAACAAGTGCAAGAAGGGAAAGAAATTACTTGCTCGAGGAAGATAAAATGGTTTTGAGAGTTTTAGAAGGTTAATCTATGCTGCTTGTTAAGCCACCCGTTTTCACAAGCTGACAACTGTGTTACAGCTCATTTTGATTGTGTGCATGTTTGAGTGGGTGAACGTGCAATTCTGTTACTGGTGACAAACATAGTGCTGTTGGCATCTCCAGAACATGACCATAATATGCGTAGTGAGAAAAAGAGCTGTGTAAAAGTTTTTAAAAGGGACTTGGGAACATTGCAAAGATGTAAGGCTCTACATGGGCATGGGGGTGAGCCAGTTGATGACATTCACTTCCCAATCCACCTGCACAGCCAAAGGTCATCCTGTGGCTTCAATTCCAGCTTCTGCTCACTGGCATGCCTTTTCCATAGGTGACAGTGTGAGGGGTTTGTAAATCCCATCTAACAAGGACTACACATGTGAGGGATGCTTCCCTGTCCTCTTTGCAGGGGACAGGAGGCTTGCCTCAGTTTTGCTGTCATCCATCTTGCTAACGCATGCCATGAGGAAATGTTAAAGTATCCATGAGCTGTAGAGGTTTATGATTGAATTCCCTTCTTTTCTAAATCCTGTAGTTTAATGCCACAGTGGCATTTCACCCCTGGGGTGTTTTATTGAAATGTAGGAAAGGAAGGAAACACTCCATGGCTTGGTGGACACTGCCCATTGCATGCCTGGTTTCATGGCTGTGTATATCCGCTCCCAATGTGTTGCGATGCTGGAGCGTTGCCTCAAAGCATCACACCTCTCTATTCACCAGAGTTCCTGTGGGACTGAGCAGTGCAGCTCGTTTTGTAAATAAAGAGTTGTGTTGACCTTGTGCAGGGAAATGTGCTCTGGAGTACCGGGATGGGGAAGTCATCTGCTCAGGCAGGACAGAGGGCTCAGGTTGGTAGTTGGTGTTTACAGCTGGGGATTGGTGATATTGCTCTGTGTATAGGGGGCTGCAGGGTCTGAATACTAAAATGCTCCTATTTACTAACAGCTTTATATTTTAATTTAAAATTAATTCAAATTGAAGTGATTAATTTAACCCTTAATTAGGACCATGGCTTCATCTCAAACAAATTAGTCAAACAGAGGCAAAATTAATTTTGCTGTTGAAAAGACAGTCACATTTCTTTAAGCAGCAGCTACCACAGATTGCTACATGCATTTGTTTTTCTTTCACTGAAATAACTTTTTGCACTCTCTGTCTCTGAGGTAGACTCATCAGTTATAGCTTGAGGAAATTCATTTTCATACAGTAACAAGGACAACTGCAGCCCTGAAATTCTTACCAGTAGGTGACTTCAATAAAGTCAGTCTGGCTCACACTGAAATAAGAGAGATTGAAATCAGACTGCACGTAGTTTTAAAATAATATTGAGGTTTGGAGTTATCACAGGAATCACTGAAGCCAACAGGTATTGGACATCTGACTTGAGGAGACCTTCTTAAAAAGCAAAGCCAGACAGCCTTGCTGTACAGTTTATATCATGTATGTAGAAACATGTAAAGATTTCCTTTACTCACTTTTAGCATGCTGAGAGGTTTTTCTTCCCAGCCCATTCCATCTGCTTCCTCTTGCATCATTCACCCTTTTGAGGGAAAGGAAAATTTTTTAGCTTCTAGAAGAAAATGTTGAGCAAAAGCAACTGCTGTTCAGGGCTGGTTTCCATGCTGAAATTACAGATTCTACAAAGACTTCCTATACTAGGCCTTTAATTTTCAACCTAACTGAAACCAAAGGCATGGTATTCACCTCAAAAAGCCAAATCTTCTTCCATCAGTTCATGTCATCCAATTTTTCTGATGTAAAAAAGTGAATGCCTTTTGAAATAAGGACTTCATTTTTTTTTTTTTGTCTTATATATCAGAAGTAAAAAATGACTAGGAAAAGAGTAATAATACTAAGTACATTGACAGCATTTTCTGTTGCCCACCCTTGCTTTCCAAGCTTCACTTTCAAGTGTAATTGCTTTTTTTTTTTCCTCCTTTGTGTTGCAGTTGTGAATAATCTTAAATTGGTCTGGCATAGTCAGAAAGAGCAAGACAGCCCGAGGGGAAGACACACGAGGTTGGGATGGCCTTGCTATGGCATCCTGGGGCAGCAGAGATCTGACCAGCTCGTCCCCCCACCCCAACTGCTCACTCTGTACAGTGATAGCAGAGGCACAAAATGATGAAATCTCTCTCCCTTTGGGGAAGAAAAAAACTGATCTCATGTCACCAGCATGCTTCCTTCATGCTCCTCTTTCCTCTTCCTTTTTTCTCTGGCCCCACACCACCATCACCTTTTCTCAGATGAAGTCTATGAGTATTCACCTGAGGGATGAACAGTTTGATGACAGTATTAATGGAGTAATTTGATTCCTTCTTTTGTCTTCCTTACCCCACAAAATCTTTCCACTTCTTATGCAAGCTTGTTTACTTATGTTAAATTCATTAAAATGTTGGTGGTAGGTGCTCTGAAAGTCTCCCAAACACACCGTCTTACTGTAGTTCCATCCTGTAAATGAATGCTCATGTGTTATGATGCTGTGCATAAATTATGCTTAATAAGCAGTGGAAATTCTATCTGGTAGGAAAACCAACCATGTGACAAAGGTTCAGTTTTAGTTAGTAGTCTTTCTCTAATCTTTACATTAAGCTAGTGTATAAAATTACTTTAAAATTATCCTGTATGTATTCATAAATACATTGTTGTCTTATGTTTACCTGCCCATAAATATAAAAGCCTCAGGGCTTGCAAGAGAGAGCTTGGAGCAGGAGGTGTCCTTCCTGGCTGCATTGCTAGCATGGAGGCCAGAGGTAGCAGCTGCAGACAGGCACCTTGGTTTGCAAGGGCTGTGGAGCACTGAAGAGTTTAGTTTAGGCTCAACTCAGTTTAGGCTGAGATTAGCACTTCTTGTGAAATGTTTCATGCTTCTCACACTGGGTTCGAGGCAGTGTGAAGAGGGTTTCCTTTATTAAGATCTTTCAGAAGAGGAGATAGTAGAGTACGGGGGTTTGTTTTCTCTTTCAACTTGCCGTTGCGTTTCACGCAGGTGTTTGGCACCAGGAACTAATCAACAAATCTGCCTAACCCAGATTTTCAGTTAGGCTTTGGTTATGGATGGTAACACGGAAGCTTACAAAGATGCTGGTATTTTTATTCTGACTTTTTTTCCCACCCCAGGCTGCCCATCCACTTTTCTGTTTGAGCAGTGCATGAATGAATGGGAAAGACCACACACATCTTGTATCTTGGATTTTATGCTACATTTATGAATCAGTTCATCTCCATAAGCAAAACCAAAAGGTGTGTCCCTGTTGAGGCTTAGGCAGACTGCTGATTTTCATTCTTTTGGCTTCAAATTAGCATTTAAATCAGTGACAGGTCCAGGAACATTTTATCTAAACTTGACTATCTGGGCTCCAGACATAAAAAGGGGTCATGGGGGTTTTCTTATACCTTATTTTTTTTTATATTATATTGACAATGAGAATATATTGAGGTTTTCCTAGTGTGCTTGTGTGTTAGGCAGTATTTGCTGTGGAACCCAAGTGTAGCAAAAGTTGATGGCATTTTAAGATGCACTCTCTTTTACGTTGTCTGTGTGTATTCAGTTGTACATATAAGTACAAACCTATGGGTGACCATTGTCAGCCAGAGTGATTTTACTTGGTAAATTCCATTTGGAGTAGGGCACGTGTCTTGGAGAGAAGCAGCAGCTAAACAGTAGAGTCTGCTGATTTATATCTGGTTTCAGTCTCTTTTCTTTTTTTTTTTTTTTTTTAGTATTTTCAGATGAGATCATCTTAGTGGAAGGAAGTCAACATTATTATTTCACTGCATGGGTTTTTCATAAAAAGTTATTTGCTTAATTGTTAATTTCTGTAACTTATTTCAAAAGCCACTTTCTTCTGATGCAGACGTGACCCTGAATCAGTCTAAAATGCAACAGGAACAGAGGGAGTATGCCAATGTTAATGAAACACCACCACCAAAAGTTTGCCAGAAGCAGCTTTTGTGGGTGCAAGCACCATCCCTAGAGAACTAGGATAATGTAAAAAACATTCTCCTTCTAAAGACCATGAAAGTTGTTGACACTTGCTCAGTACAAGAAGCAGCTCACTGAGCCTGATGCATGGTCCTTCAGAAGTGGTACAGATCTTTCACTGTTCACGTTATTTTCCTGAGTTTGACTTGCTTAGTCACGCTGAACTGAGCAACATAGGTTACAGTTAGAGTGCCCTTGTAAGCAAACCTTGACAGCAGAGAGAGAATTAAGTTAGCTGTTTATGCAGAACAGGGCCAGATTTTTGGTAAATGAACCACAAGAGAAGAAAAAATAAGTGTTCTCAAAACGTAAGATAGAAAATGTTTCTTCTTAGTGGTGAAATACACTGTTTTGTTTTCCAGGCAAAATTAAACCCAAATCCAAGTTGATGCATGAAGAGCCCCATGGTACCAAAAGGTTTTATTTCCATCGAGCTTTCTCATTATGAGAAAAATCCGTATTTTTAGACCATAAACATCTGCAAAATGTGATTTGCATAGGGATAAGTCCCAGGGCAATAACAGGCACGTGTTAAAATCAAGGAGATGTCCATGGAATTTAAAACTATACTCTTGTTATTTTTCAGCTTGTCGACCAGGGTTCTACAAAGCCTCTGCTGGCAACGTGAAGTGTGCTAAATGCCCACCTCACAGCTCTACCTACGAAGATGCGTCTCTGAACTGCAGGTGTGAAAAGAATTACTTTCGTTCTGAGAAAGACCCTCCATCCATGGCTTGCACCAGTGAGTAGCATCATTATGCTCGGGGCTGTCATTCTTGCTCCTCTATCTGTATCTCAGCAGCTTGCTTGCTTCCTCTCACATCTCATTGCAGTCAGCCATCCACTGCCTCCCATGTCTTCTTACATGTTGGACCGGCTACCAAAAATTGGTGGGCTGGGTTTATGTCTTTCTGTTTTAATTTTCTCCTTCTTCTTCTCTGTCAGATTCAAGAAGGAGAGCTAGGATTTTTAAATTGCTACCAATATTTTCAGCCCTCAATCCTGAACTGCACCTTGAGGGTACTGTCTGTCTATAAGAAAACATGGTCCTTGATAGTCTAGATCTGCAGTCCAGTGAAGTATTTCAGAAGTCTCTACAGGAAATAACTAGAAGAGTTTGGTTATTTAAGTTCTTAACTTTTGTATTTTCATACCCTTGTTACTCTCATTTTAGAGCACTACAGAAAATCTCATCCCTCTACTTTCATGTTTCCTTTTGTAGGACCACCATCTGCTCCAAGAAACGTTATCTCTAACATCAATGAGACGTCTGTTATCCTGGACTGGAGTTGGCCTCTTGACACTGGAGGTCGGAAAGATGTCACTTTCAACATCATTTGCAAAAAATGTGGAGGAAATAGCAAGATGTGTGAGCCATGTAGCGACAACGTGCGATTCTTACCCCGTCAGACTGGACTCACCAACACCACGGTGACAGTAGTGGACCTTTTGGCACATACCAATTACACTTTTGAGATTGATGCAGTCAACGGGGTATCTGACTTGAGTACGCTTTCCAGACAATTTGCTGCTGTCAGCATCACAACTAATCAGGCTGGTGAGTCTCTTTCTGATTACCCTTTCTTTGTTCAAAGCTGCTGAGATGTATGGACCTTTGTTTCCTTTCCCTGTTTTACAGGAGTTACTTTGACCACTCGTGTGCTAGGGTAACTAATTGACTGGAATACGCTAGTAAAAGTGAAAGCAGAAACAAACCCAGTGTGTGTTGCTGTCAAAGGACCTGGCAGCATGACTGTTATGATTAACTCCCAGTCCCCAGTTAATAGTCTCTAATAGCAGGCTCACATGATTCCTTAGCCTGAATGTGTTTTATTAATAAAACCAGATTTTAATAAAACACTCATTTCAATAATCTCCAACATAAATTACTGTAGTAATCTTAGTGATTAATTTTGATTAAATAGAAGTGAAAAAATGCTTTGATGTTAGACACATAAAAAGCTAACATTAAATTAGAGAGCTTTAAAACACTGCTATATTTTTTTTTCTCCTTTACAAGTTGTCTCACCAACTCTGAATTATTGCCAGCATGATGGGGGTGTGGAGCTGAATACTGAATTAGATCCTGGTATCGTAGTTGATAGTGTAAAAGGGGACTGCTCTACTTCTGTGGAGAAGTAGACTGTCAGATCAGACCTTTTGTCACTGCTGCACTATTCTACCATTTGCTTCTCATCTGACAAGGTTTCATTTATCTGAAAGATCTGAAGAATCCAGACTCTCCTCTAGCATTTGTTTAGGAGCAATGTTTGCCAGTGAAAAGAAAGATTAGATCCTGAAATTTCTGCTCCATGTGGTTCACCATCAGGAAGCTTTATACTGAAAGCATTTGTGTGTGCAGTCTTCTCCCACCTCTTCCCATCCCACACCCCATTCCCAAAATACCTACATTTCTGTCTTCCTCAAAGCACAAACCAAGCTGACATCGTTTTAAGTAGACGTTCTCCTAGTGAGCTATCTTGTTGCAGTGTTTTTCACTATAGAGGTTATATCTCTTCTGCTCAGATCACAGATCAACCTTAGCGGGAGGCATAAAATGAGAGAACAGACTGTTTCCTGACAGCAGTCACTACATTTCCAAATGCTCTGCAGGGCTGTCTAACTATGCAGTAGGCAGACAGAGGCGAATCTACGCAATTGAAACATCTTCTCATGATCCCTTTCTCATTTAAGCATTAACTTCAGCTCTGAAACACATATTTTATATCCATTCCAAACAATTTGCTAATATTATAGTTACATTTCTTGGATTGACATTTTTGTCAATGACTTGAGTGGCCTTTGTTTAGTTGCTCTCTTTTCTTCTGTTTTTTTTGATTTAAAAAAAAAATTGTTTGTTTTTTGTTGGGTTTTTTTTTTTAGTATCAGAGATATTGCCTTTCAGCCTGTTCACCACTGTATCAGTTAGAAATCACAGAATCAGAGAGTGGTAGGGGCTGGAAGGGACATCTGAAGATCATCTAGTCCAACCACAGGTTCACATAGAGTAGATCACAGAGGAACACGTCCAGGCAGGTTTTGAACATCTCCAGAGATGAAGACTCCACAACTTCTCTGGGCAGCCTGTTCCAGTGCTCCGTCACCCTTAGAGTAAAGAAGTATTTCCTTATGCTTAGGCTGAACCTCCTGTTTTCCAGTTGGTGACCATTGCTCCTTGTCCTGTCACTGAGAAGAGTCTGGCCCCATCCTCCTGACACCTGCCCTTTAGATAGTTATAAGCATTGATGAGATCCCCCTCAGTCTTCTCTTCTCCAGGATAAAAAGACCCAGCTCTCTCAGCCTTTCCTCGTATGGTAGATGCTCCAGTCCCCTCATCATCTTAGTGGCCCTGCAATGGACTCTCTCCAGTAGTTCCTTGTTCTTCTTGAACTGAGGACCCCAGAACTGGACACAATACTCCAGGTGAGGACTCACCAGGGCAGAGTAGAGGGGGAGGAGATCCTCCCTCAACCTACTGGCCACGCTCTTCTGAATATACCCCAGGATACCATTGACCTTCTTGGCCACAAGGGCACACTGTTGGCTCATGGTCAACCTGTTGTCTACCAGGACTCCCAGGTCCTTTTCCCCAGAGCGGCTCTCCAGCAGGTCAACCCCCAACCTGTAATGGTACATGGGTTGTATCACCTGGGGACACTCCACAGAATGAACTCTCTGGGATCAGTGAAAGGCATTTCTCTGCAGAGGCCTCCTGCTTTGCCGTGTGCTTCCCCAGGGCCCAGAGCTGTCTGCCTTGACACTGTGCTGCAAGGTGGACAAGTTTGTTTAATGCAACCTACAGGCTGCTTAAGCAATTTGTTTGTTTTTTGGTTTTATACATAACCCATTTTTGCTTTAAGTACGTTTAGGTGGTGTGGGTTACTACAGACTTAATTGTGCTATCTCTTCATCATACCAATTGGTTTACTATATTAGAATTCCCTTAGAAGTTCTGCAAGTTGCTAAAATTAGACCTTAAATATGTATATAAGAAATCTTTTAAAGCATAATTAGAAAAATACCATTTCTCTTGAATTACCTTCCTGGTTAGATCGCAAAAGGGACATGCCAGAAGGATATTTTTAGCTAATGTCATACTTAAACACATGGGTGAGGGGAGAAAGTCTGAAGATCTTAGATTAGATTATAATGCAAGGTTTAATTAGGGGGCATTTCAAAAGAGAATTAAAGCACCATTGAACTGGATCTGAAAGAGACCAAAAGACTCCAATAGCCAGTCATGCATGGGCTATTATTTCTGCTGTCTGACTTTAGGTACGTTCCTTCAAGGACAGAGGTATCCACCAGCTGTCTAAAGCTTTGGTTTAATGACCAATCTCTGCTGGACTCAAGGAAGTAGGAGAGGGGAGGTTGTTCTGTGGATGAGGTATCACATGGGGTGATAGGGGTCAGCACAGTGGGGTGGATCCTGGAGACAGAGCCCCTGGCAAGGCTGTAGAAGGAATGATGCCAGTCAGCAGGCTGAGTTTTGGAGAGCGGATTGAAGTATAGAAGGTTCCTACAACCCGGATCTCCTCAGTCTCTCCTGAATCGAGGCGGTTTTACTTCTGCCAGCCTTGATTTGGAAGGTTGCAGTTTTAATCCTGGATTTTCAGTATCCATGTGCTTTATTCAAGCACTGTCAGGGCCCATTCCAGCTTAGTGAAAGCTGCAGAATGTTCCTCACCCACCCAAACCACTGGTTTTCAAATATGTGAGTTTCCAAGAGCCTGAGGCAGAACTGCAGGATATTTTATATTTTATAATGACAAAAATGTGATTTTTCTGGCAGTTTTCTTGGTGGTAAAAATCTGACATTGTACACCTTTACTTCAGATGAACTCAGTTCAAGACAGGCATCGGTTGGCGTTTTGTTTACTGTGTCTCTGGGCTCCAAAGACCTGCTGAAAATTGAACAAACATTTCTTTCCATGTTTCTCACCATACACATGGGCATTTCTGCCTATGAATCCATCTCCAGCCTAAGAGGTCAGAACGTGCATAGTACTAATTTTCTGTAATGCAACAATTGGGAGATCTGCCAGAGTGTGTTACAATAAATTTAGCTGAGATGTGAGGAGTCACTCAGTTTGTACTGTGGCTCCATTTTTGTATGTAAGCAGATCATATACACACATGCCTGCACATATTTGTAGTTTACATATACACGTGGATATGTATGCACACAGAAGGAGTCACCTTAAATGTTGCTGAAAAGTTTGCTGATACGTTTACAGTGACTCTGAGTTCTAGAGTCTGTAATTAACAATCTCAATAAGATTTTTCTAAGGAGTTTTCAAACCTGATCTAGAAGTAAAGGAAAGATGTGCTTTGTTGTCACTTGTAAGGTTTGAAACATCCGGACTCTAATTCTGCAGGTGGTGTGAATGCAAGAAGAATAAGACGTTTTACAGTACGAACTGTTGTAAAGCCAACATCTGGTCCCCTGAATTGAGGGAAATTCAAAATCATTTCAGAAAATGGATTGGGTTTTTTTTTCCAACTGTCTGGCCTGAGTTTTGCTGTGCTTTTATTGCACTTTGTTTTCCTTTCCTTCCAGTAAAGGTTAGTGAGCTTATTTCTCTTCTGAAATATGGCTAGATAGGTATGACACTGCAATATTAGTGTAAGTCTTTCTGTCTTTGGTGTGGAAGTAAAAGAGAAAGGGCACACACTTCTATTTAATTTAGTCTGTTGATCATCCTCTTTAATTGCACTGTAATACATGCCTTCAGTTGCCACCTGATACAGCCTCCTCTGAATTATATTGAAGCGTTCTACTGCTGCCCAAAAAAGCTCTCACCTCGTGTCAATACGTTGTCCATTTTTTGGAGCTTTGTAAGTAACCCAAAGGGAAAAGACACCCAGTCCAGATCAGGGTGGTTCTGCATTTGCTGCCTTTGGGCTGTAGCAAGCAGAAAACTCACACTAGAGCCCAAGGGGGTTTTAAATGGAAATGAAGTAGGGAATTCACTGAAGAAAGACTAAGATTTATTGGGGACAACACAATCATGCTACTGGGTAATTAGTTTACAAAAATGAGGGAGAAGGTGGTGTTGGAATTGCTTTGTAAAGAATTTTTGTTCTAGGTCTGTGTCCCAAAGTTGAATAAGATGGTGTGTAAAGTTGATACAGAACATTTCCTCAACAGCCATATTTTTGGCACTATGAAGAGGCTTAGAGTCCTTAAGTTTTCCTAACTTTCCAGAATGTGATTCTGGTGAGCTTCTCTCAGCATGCTATTTTCAATGTCAGTCTTTATCATTCCTTTAGTTATGTCCTGTACCTGAGGAGGACTAACCCCACACATCAGGACATGCTGGAGGCCAACTGGCTGGAAAGCAGTTTTGCAATAAAGGATCTGGATGTCCTGGTGGAGCATCTGGGACTGCAGTAGGAAAAGCACTACCAGCAGTTCAAGGGGGTTGATCCTTCCCCTCTTCTCAGCACTAGTGGGGCCACACGTGGTGTGTTCAGCTTAGCTTCCACTCAGTACAATAAAGACATGGAAATAGTGAGGCAAGACAAGTGAAGGGTCACTAAGGTGATTAAGGTAGA